ACGCTTACACACTTACACACTAAAGCACTTGCACACTTGGACGCTTGCACACTTACTCACACACACGCACTCACACATTTACACAAGCACGCTCACACAACCACACACCACACACACCACACATCATGACATTAGCAGCCATTCAACTACTTGTCGAATGACACCCAGCTAAGGGCCCCAGGACCACTTGCTCCTTCCCGCCCCTCCCCTCCCTTCCGCTCGCCCCGCCCACGGGGGGCATAAGCCAATGCCCGCTCCCTCTGCCCGCCTTCCCGCTGGCAGCCCGCGCGCGGGCAGCGATCGCCTCGCCGCTGTGCTGGCGCGCTGGGGACCGCGGGCACGCCTCGGGTCCAGCGTCGCTATGCTGGGAGCAGACGGGGAGGAGAAGGAGGATGATGATGAGGAGGAAGTGGAGGAGGAGAAGGAGGAGGAGGAGGAGGAGGAGGCGAAGGGGGAGGAGGAGGAGGAGGAGGAGGAGGGGATGGAGGAGGAGGAGGAGGAGGAGGAGGAGGAGGAGGAGGAGGAGGAGGAGGGGGCGGACATGCGGGGTCCTCCGGGACGTCGCTCTGGGTCTCCCCGCTGCCGCCGCGTCGTGATGACCCCGACCCCTCTGGCGAACCCCGATCCGAACGTTTTCGCATTAACCCTGGCCGGCTCCCGCCCTCCTCTGTCCCTCGCCCTCTTCCCCTCCCGCCTCGCCCCTTCGCACCACCCTCCTCCATTTTTCCCTTGCTGCTCTGTCTGCTGCACCGAATCGCTTCTTCCCCTCCTCCTTGCTCCTCCGGGCCTCCCAGATGGGGTCGGAGTAGATGGGGTCGGAGGATCGCGCCGCATCGGCGATGCATCGGCGATGCGGCTCGATGTGGAGCCCGAATTGCTTCACGTCGACGTCGACGATGCGTCGCCGGTGCATCCCCCCCCCCCTCCGGGCCCCCCCCCTCCGCCCCTCCCTGGCCGCGGCTTTGCTCTTCCCCGCTCGCTGTCCCGTGTGCGCTCCTGGGCAGCCCGCCGAGCGGAGCAGGGGCGCGCTCCTCGTGCGAGTCCGGATCACGCCGGATCCAGTGAGCCTCGAGGGGGAGGAGGAGGAGGAGGAGGAGGAGGAGGAGGAGGAGGAGGAAGAGGAAGAGGAAGAGGAA